TTCAGCCACTCCGAGACGCGGCCCAACTGCGCACCTGTTGACAATATTCTTTTACAAACTACCACCCCGTCGTGGTAGAAATTTCCCTAACTTAATAACCCACTGCATTGGTTGTGATTCGCCCTTTGTTGGCCGTATAAGAGCCTTCGGAGGACCACTTAACTTTCTTCCTCTTCGCCTCAGTTGGGAGTCGGTCGGTCACATGATTCTGCGTGCGTCGATAGCCGGGCAGCGTTCGCGTCTAAGCCACTACACCATTTTCCATTAAAGTTGGACATTCGGGCAAAACATTTAGGCCTGGGGGTCAACAGGGTTGCTCCTCCCGGGCAATCATTTTGAGTCTTCGGTATGCGGAAATGAACCACTCTCTGGCTTTGTAGGGGCTGTTTCATTGGCCAAGCGCCTTCAGCAAATAGGACCCCAGACGCATATCGGTGGCATGGACCCAATTGAGACGCCGCAACCGAAACATGAGCTCACGCACCTCTGTGCACAGTGGACGGTGGTGACACCATGTGCGACTGTGTTCCTCTACCCACAGAAGGGCATGTAACCAATCAGCGCACCCGAAAGGCACAGACGATTGGAGGGTAGGGAAATAGGAAAACGAGCTTGATAACATGTACCATCTTGAGAGGTAGCTACAACAAGCAGCGATGCTCTGGGTGGCTGCGGGAAGTTCTCGATACCAACGGAGCAAACGTTTTTGCGAGGTTGCATTGTGGTTTGCGACAACGTACCCTGTCACACGAACCTGGAGTAAGTGTTTTCGGAGGACCGTTATCGCTCTGAGAGACTTCTACATCTTGCACCATACTCTCCAACACTCAACCCCATCGAAGGAATCTGGAGCATTATAAAGGCACATGTCAAACAGGGGATGAGGGGAAGATATGCCGAAATGCTCCGGGGGACCCTCAAGAACTTTTAAGTAAAACAGAGTGGCGGCTCTGTATTCTCGAGTGTGCGGTGTCAGAAGCACGGACTTGATTCCGCCTGAACACTGTGAACGAATGGTCGAACACGTCAGAAAGAATTACGGACGTGTTTTACATTTAGTCGCTTTGTAACATAATCTGTTGCTAGTAAACTTACTGTTTGTAAACGAGTGCATCTGCCACGGCAGGCGAGATGATGGCCAATAAAAACTTCAAAATTAGCGGGTAAAGTCCATCGGGTCCAGCAGGTTTTGTGCCATCAAGACTGGTGAGTAGACTGCGTACATCCGCTACACCGCAATCAAGGCCGTCGAGTACATAAGGGGCGGCACACGTCGAGCTCTGCATAGGCGTATGCCTACTTGTATATAAGGAGGGGAAGTGCTCCGCCAATGCGGACTCACGTTCAATGCTGGTGGTCAGAGGCTGTCCGTCAGTGCCTTCTAACACAGCTATGTCACTTGCGGGCCTCAGGCGCCGCTTCACGTAAGCAGAAATCTTTGTGGGGGCTGTCTTCGCTGAGGTTGCAGGCTGCTCTTCGAACTGCCGATGCTTTCGCGCTTTTGCACAGATTCCGCTGCCTTTTGTACGCCTTATAGTCGTTGGCAGAGCCAGACACGAGGAATTTATTCCACTATACGCGTCGCCCACGAGGCGATTGATTATAGCCTCTGTCAAACAAATATGGCTTCACTGGCCCACCTTTCCGATACTTAAGGGGTACGAAACCAGCACATAGCGATTGCACACCCTCTTTTAGAACAGACTAACAGGCTTCAACAGATGAATCCTGCGACATCGGCCAGCCTACTTCACTAGCGGCTCGATTTCAACCATTGAAGTCGGTCTTCCAATAATTGTAAGATGGCTGCAACAGACAAGAATAGGGCAACGGCAGCTCTAGACTGGCTAACACTATCGAGTGGTCACCAGCTGCTAGAGGCCCCAAGACCTGAATTTCGTGTACACGTTGCAGGCAACTCGTTGGTATTAGGTCCAGGCACGATGGAGCGGAATGCGGTGTAACGCGCATCGGTTGGCAGACATGTTGTGCGGCACCAGCTTCAAATACCATCACCGCAAACTGCGTCTCGACTTCACAGTGCCCGGGGAGTAGTTGAACCTCAGACCACCGTATTCGATGGAAGTTAAGATCACCCATAAGCAGGAAGTGGGGCCGACTCATGTAGTTTCTGGCATGCGGCAACCAATCTAGGCATCGACTTCGCGAACTGCGGTAAGGCGCACCCACAAACAGTTCACCCTGTCTCAGGCAGATCGAGCACCATAACTGTTCGCACAGGTCATCTTCGCTGCGGTAGGTGTGTACCAGTCTCCCGCACAGCGAGCACCGAATGTATAACAGCAGGCCGCCTCGATCGTTTGATAGTCTGTCGCACCGGAAACACGAGTAGCAACTGATCTGGACTTCTTGGATAGTGACCACTGGATTTAACCAGGTTTCGGCCAGTCATAGTACGTCCGAACGTAGTGAGACAACGAAGTGAAAGACATCGTCACGTTTGTTCATTAAACTACAAACATTTGTTAAGGCTACGCGCAGATCGCGGCAGACGCGCATGAAACGTCATCCATTTATTGATCCGGGTTCGGCGGACCCGGAGAACTACCCGAAAATTTACAATGTGGAGATTGATTTCTCCACTATCAGTCCGCCGTTTCAACTCCACCATAGTGGACTTCAGTTTCACTTAGTCCGACGGATCCAAATCGGGACGAACATGGACCTTTAGACCTATTAGCCTACCGAGGCAGGATAGTATTAGCCTCGGACTGGTTGCATTCACAAACGTGACTCGCAGACGCCGAGATTTCACCACCTCTCTCTTTCCAAGACGGGTGAGTTGCTTCACCCGCAAGCCCTGTTCATTCAGGTTGAGAAGTTTATCAAGCAGGTTTTGCGGCAAATCCACGTTGTGGTCATAACGAGTCTGAGGACTAGCATCTGTCGACTCAGGCGCGTGAAATATCATAAGGTTACAATGCTGCTGATTGCTGACGGTTATTTTCTTCTTTTTGCTTCGCTGCATTCTCCATTGACCGTCAACGCCTGTGCTATCGCACACCGGTATGTTATTGTCTGTAGGGTGCAACACAGGTACGCCAGCTGAGTCTCCAGCAACGGGTGGACATCGCACTAGAGAGCCTGCATCCGGTGTGGAAATTCACACCACACATGAGGCACGGAACAGCATTGGCTCTATGCCCAACTATTTTGCAACAAGTGTCACAGGTAGTCAGCTTCGTCATTAGTGACAGCTTAACAGATATGACGGTAAAGGCGAGAAAGTGAACAAAAAGCACACGATACAAATACCAGAGTAAAGTGTACCGACACGAAACTAATACACAATAAACAAATTCAGAATCGCAAAAGAAACTGAATACGACAAAAACAAACAAAATATCTGCTCCGCACAGAGTAATGAATGATGGAAACTGGCCTGTCAAATAGAGTGACAGAAGCCGTCCGGAGAGTGCTACTAGCAGATATGGTCAGAACCCGGAGCCCACTCTCATTGGCCAACTATGTAGCTTCAAGCTTGATTTGAATCAAATTTCCCGAGCTGCTAGCGAAGGGATCGACTCCGAAGGCTTCGATGAGCAGACTTCCTTAACCACAACATCTCTGTTGTTACGTACATTGGATCAGTACCTACCGGCAAAGAAAAGATTTTACCGAAATACACGAAGTGATTTTGTGGTATCAATCGTCTAATCACGGCCACAGCTAAGATGCGAAGTTATCCGGACAAACCATGTGGCCAGAATTTCGGGTCTTATAACTGAATGCGCAAGACAATGAGGTTCCTCTCTCTCTCGCAGTGGATAAAAGGGATTGCTGATGGAAAGGATTTTCATAAAAAACGGGCTGAGGGGCGTACAATTCTCCAAGTCAGTGAAATATTCAGCAGTCACACGTTGGGTCATGATTCATAGTGGTCACATCAGGTGAACGAAGTATTCTAACAATTCGGAAGGCTGTCTATACAGTTTTGCCGTATGAGATATGCCTCTGCCTCCGATCTCATTATTCCTAGAATCACTGCAGTTTGTGTTATACTAGCCCGTATGAAGTGCTCTTCAATGTTATCTGCAGATATCATGTGAATCTCAAGGTGTTTAGCGATGTAATGTAACATTGGCCTCAGGGTAGCGGCGTTGACTCTATAGCGTCTGCGCATAGAGGGAAGTGATCAAAATGCATAATCAAAGAAAAGTAGGCGATTGACGTTTAGTAGACACGCCAGAACAACATTGAAATGGTTCTCTTCACACGTAAACACATTGGTGGGCTTCAGCATCGTTTACTTGGTGCTCCCACGAGATATGAGCGGAAACACCGGTGATCAATGGCAGTCAACATCTTAGATAGTCTTCACCCGATGGAGTTGTACAGAATTATTTTCTACTTGCTCCAAAATACAGTATACAGTATTCAACGTGAAGTGGTCATCTCTGTGATCCAAGCAGTAACACATACTTCACTACGGTGATACGCTGATACTTCGCCGTCTAGATGTTACAGAGACCATTGAAAAATGCGAAAACCTCAAGGGGTTTCGATCTTCATTGAATTGAGCCCCTCAGTGATAAGACCACCAAAGGTAACCCAACCATCAAGGAAGTGAACTGATTACCACTTCGAATGTCTATTCGGTAGTCGACAGAATTGGCGGCGTGTCAAATCAGTCCAACCAAAAACACTTGCCATCTGAAGGTGCACGGAGCAAGACAAAGCTCGCACCGCATTTCGTCAGGCTAGCAAAAGTGTTTTTACAGTGGAATGTTCTAACTCAAAAACGGTTAGACTGCGGCCCTAGTGAAGATTGAAAAAACGGTAGGTTATGAGCGGTTTGATTGTGGGAAACTCAAGACAGTTTGCCGGAGCTTTTTTCGCGGCACTGGGTCGCAGTACAGGGACTCCAAAATAGAAAACAGTCACGTTAGCACGCCATTCCCGGAAAAAAGAGAAAAAGATACTTTTATACGTTGCGTTGACCGGAGAAAAGGGAAGAGGAAAAAGGAGGTTCTAGAAAATCAATACAAAAGACTGCGCCCGACAAACAAAGATAAGGATAAGCAAGTGAATGGAAATTGTGCACGCACCTGACCGATGTGGAAGTGGGATCCTTTGGCACGTCGTTTTCGTGGAGGCGCGTCATCAGTGTTTGCCTAGAGAGGGGGTAAAATGACGAGAGCACGTTTTGGAATCATCATCATTCATCCTTATACACGTTAGCTGAAGCTATTGTATCGCAATGTAAAAGAAAAGAAAAAATGATACAGTGACACGCCGATTGAGTCACCAGTAACGGACGGACATCGTTCTGGAGAGCCAACAGCCGGAGAGTGTACAGCAAAGTAGTCATATTACCCGTAATAACTGAGATCGTAGTTGAACGGGGGGACTAAGCGGGAGCGGAGGGACAAAGAAACTCACAATACAAACGCCACTGGCGCCGGCTCTTCGCCATATCAGCAGGTGTGTCCAACCAAACGTGTTATTGTCTTCATGGCCCCAGCCAGCCAGTCGGGATACACCAACCGACGCCAACTTCGAAGTCAGGGTTTTTATTTCTCTCGACCAAGCAATCGTTTGGCCTCCTCTTCCAACCGCAACCCCGGCACGCAAACAACGGAAGTCGGTGTGCCCAACCGTGGCCCAACCATCGGGGCCTGGTGCATGATATAATGGTGCTGAGTGGTTCATTCGCTCTTCCTGCACCAAATACGCAACGCCGAACAGGCTCATTGCTTACGCGGTGCTCCCACCAGACATGAGCTAAGCTGCGAAGGCAGCGATGATCGAATGTGATGAGCCTCTTTTGTGTCTGCCGACCTGATGGGCCAGGCTGCACAACCGTGGAGAAGATTGAACGGACGGCTGAATAATAAACTCTGCCCTTCATAGCGAGAGTGATGTCTCGTTTGCGGCACAGGTGGCGGAGATTGGCAAAAGCACCTCGAGGTTTTGCTATACGGTTCGTAATCGCATCTCCGATTCCACGGACACTAATATAGCTGCCCAGGTACTTGAAATCCTGAACGACTTCTAGCTGATCACCACCAAGGGTCAGCGCAGGAGGCGATCCCTGCCAATCTTGGGGAAGTACTTTGCCTTTCGATGGGGCAAGGCATAGTGCTAATCGGTCCAGTTCTGCTTGGCACGTCTTGGAGCTGTCACAGATTAGGGCGATGTCGTCAGCATACTCCAAGTCAAGAAGTCGCTCACCAGGAAGTAGCTCCACACCTTCTAGGTCGTGTCCCGTGAACGCTGTTTCCATGCCTTCGTCAATACCGAAGTTAACGAGGAAAGGTGACAGCGAGCAAATTGTCTCGCACAGCTGGAGTGTGGCGACAGTTACCCATAAACCTTCACTGCCCGAAATTTGCGCGTACAGCACTTGGATAATGTTTATGTATTTGTCGGGCACACCTTTCCTGAGCAGATAGTCCCAAAGGGCACACCGACTAACCAAATCGAAGGCATCTTTTATGTCGAGAAACATGACAACGGTGTATCGTCAATAAACATGGCGGTGCTCCAAGAATTGACGCAAGGTGAAGATGTAGTCGATGCAGCAGCAACTTCGACGAAACCCGGCATGCTCTTCACGGATCCGGCTTTCGAGAGTGTCAGTCAACCTGTGGAGTACCACAGACGAAAGCAATTTAGGGGGCCACTGAGATCAGACTGATCCCTCTATGACTGCCGCATTGAGAACGGGAGCCTTCTTTGAAAAGTGAGACTATGACAGAACTGCTCCAGTGGGTTGGGACACCCTCCTACCGCCAAAGTTCCACTGGCAACTCGAGTAAATCATTTACAGGAGCATGTCCCCCGAAATTAAAGAGGGCTGGGGGAATTCTAGTTGACCCTGCGGCCTTATGCAATTTCAACAGCCTGATCTCACGTTCGACTTCTGCGTGTGTGGGCGCATTTAAGCAGAAGGCCGATAGAGAAGGGTACTCAATGCCCGAAGAAGAAAGCGATAACTTAGGTTAGTTAAACTGTATTGCAACGTGTTCAGCCCAACGTTTTGAAAGCCGAAAGCCCGATCAGCAAGCAACACTATGAAGACGATGGATGTAGATAATTAAACGTATGGTATTGAAGGCGTTGGAATAGAAACAGGACAGTTTAAAATGATGCTGAGGAGAAAGGTTACAGGAACTAACCCCGCACGGCACTGCCGTGGTCCTAGGAACCCCGTTGGACTTAGCAGCAGCACACGATCTTCTCGAATTACACGCCATTTGAGTCCAAAGCCACAATAGTAGTGAGACAGCGTCCAAGTCAAGGAATCTTGAGATACGCTGACGACTGACATGAACGAGTCAATGAATGTGAAACAGCATGGGTAGAGTTGGTGTTCCAGAATCATGAGTTCACTTGACGTGGTATCTATCATCTTATGGTAATAGCAATTACATTGGGCACTGTGTAGCGATGTTTGAATACTGTGTAGCCGTGAAGAATTGCTTTCGGGTGCCAGGGAGAAGTAACACCTCTGGTAGGGGATCTGCCTTACCTTCCGGGGTAGTCTGCCTATCTTTGATCTTAACCTGTCACCCAGCTCTCACCTGTGACTCCAAGAAGCTGCTTGTACGCGGCAGCGGCCACACCCCGGTCAACCGTCAAGCAGTCGGGCTAAACTAGGTGAGGGTAGCCAGGAATACTAATATCGGTGAGTTCGTACTCTCGTGCAACGTCAGTCCTGACAACTGAGCGGAAGAGATCGACCACTGATCCAACGGCCAGAAGTTAAGACAATTTCCCAGATCCCTGTTGCCTTGCAGGTAGCACTTGGCTGTGCAAAGGCTAGAGCTGAACCATCGTACAAAAGCCAGACCCACAATCCCTACGAAACTTCACGACATGTCCGTTACCCGCGATTCTTCTCCTGCTATGGCGTTCCCGGTAGGCGAAGTGCTCTGCGCTAACCCAGTGGAGACTGGAATGTCAGAACCCGGTTGGATGTCGGCAGCCAAGCGTTGACGATGCACACACTACATGACTACCAGATCGACATAGCATGCCTATCAGAATCTCGAATACCCGGCTCGCCAAATCAAAGTCCATGGTGTAGACACCTCATATTGGCTTTACCCATATGGGCAAGAAGATGATTCGGGCAACCATGGGGTCACCATGGCTCGCAGTTGCAAGGCACACTCTGCGCTGCTTTCATGGAAGGCAGTATCAGCTAGAATAGCAATTACACGCTTCAAAGGTCAGCCGATGAATCTGACCATAATCTCCGTATACGCACCAACCCTACCCTCAGTGTAAAGTGACAAAGATACTCTACAGGCAGTGGTGAACCAGGTTTCAAAACGCGACATCTCATTATTGCTGGGGATTGGAATGCATGGACCAGGCCTAGGATAAATCAGATACGTCACATATTCAGGAGATACATCCTTGGAGAGCGCTACGATAATGGAGGCCGTTTGAACAGCTTCGCTGACCGTAACCAGTTGTGCGTAACCAATACTCGCTTCCAGCATCCCAGGAAGCATCTCCTGACATGGTACTCCAACGATGGTTGTACAGCAAGCCAGACATGTTGCATGTTAATCCGATCCCCGTGGATATCCTCCACCGATGACTGTTGGGCGTACAGAGGGGCCGAAACGGACAATAAAGATGGTTCGGACCATGTACTCCTGCACGCCAAATTCAGACTCCGCTTGACAACGAGCCGAAATACCCTTCCACCAAAGCGTATCAACACTGTCCCACTGGAAAATACTGATTGCTGCGGATCCCTTGAAGCGGCAATAGTAGCAAAAATTTCTGCCAGTGCACAATGCCTCGTACTTGCAGAAGATGAATCTGTAGACGCACGTTGGTCTAGGCTAACATCGTCACTTCAACGCGTCGCTCTGGCTACTCTGGACTCTACCTCTAAGCCTGTAAAGGACTGGATCACTGAAGATACTATCCGCTTGTCCGTTAAGGCGAGAGGAGCATCTCACAGATTCCCCAGACTACCGTCGCTTGAGACATGAGGCAACCTGCTCAGTACGGAATGATGGCAACCGCTACTGGTCTGTTATCGCAAGTAACATGGAAATTACATTAAATTCTGGCAATTTGGGTCATCTCATTCGTATGGTCCGTTTAGTTTCCGGCAAGCGCTATTCACCACAGCTGATACTGCACAATTCGGAGGGCCAAATCATCCCTGATACGGAAGAAAAACTTTCCATATGGGTAGAATATTTTAGCAACCTCGTTGATCGCCCACTACACACCACCGCATCCATTTCAGCATTAACCCAGTCAGGGTCTGACGCAGATTGCTCACCGTCATCACCAACAGAAATTGCAGACATCCTCGCCTGAAGCCGAAGAAAGCTCCTGGAGCGGACGGGATTCCAGGAAAAGTCTACAAATCTTGTCTACCAGCTCTTTTTAACCATTTGCATGAGCTCTTCCGCTCGATATTGGAGACCGAAACCTGTCCTTCATCGTGGAGTACCTCAGTACTACCGCCATTTCCCAAGAAAGGTGACCGAACTGTGTGCAGTAATTAGCGCGGGATTAGCCTAATCGATGTGGCTGCAAAAACGTTCGCATGGATGTTGCTTTCCCGCTTTGCTAATGAGAAGAAGCTAAGAACTCGTCATAACCAAGGTTGTTTTCGTCCAGGCAGAAGCTGCACTGACCAAAGCTTCACTCTACGTCCGGTACTCGAACACCGCAACCAGTTCCAGCAGCCCACGTTTGTGTGATTAGTTGATTTTCGAAGTGCCTTTGACTCAGTTGACGGTGAAGCACTCTGGAGAATTCTACTTGCCGATGGCGTGCCGGTTAAACTCTTTAACTGGATGAAATCATACTATCGTTGCACGAAAGCCCCGTTTCGGGTCTATGGAGAAGAAGCAAAAGAATTCGACACCAATACCGGAGTCAGGCAGGGTGGATCACTCTCTCCAGTACTGTTCAACTTCGCAGTTGACTGGCTTATGCATCATGCCCTTGAGGGCTATCGTGATGTTCAAATTAGCCTTGGTTTCTGGCGGTCAGATCGAGAATTCGCTGACGCTATCGCTATCCTTGCGAAAGATGCTATATTACTCTTGTCACTGCTAAATCGCGTCGACCAATCAACCTCTATGATCGGCCTCGAAAGTAACCCCAGCAATACTGAGTACTTCTCATCGTTAACCACCTACGCTGCCCCGTCGCTCGCCTTACATGGACAACTCATCGAATCTGTTCCTGAGTTCAAGTATCTTGGATCTACTATACTTCCAAATGGTCAGGCTACATCCGAAATCCGGAATCGTATTCACAACGCTAGAACAGCCTTCTTACAACTATGAAGCACATTGTGGTGAAGGACGGAAATTAGTCTGAGAACGAAGATCCGAGTAATCTCAGCAAGCATTCGTGCCATTTTACTCTACGGTTGCGAAAGTTGACCGCTGCGATTCGAAAACACCCGGAAGCCAAAAGTCTTGAAAACGCAGTGGCATGAGCGTATCACCAATGACGAAATCTGTCAGCGCTGTTACGGTCTTCCGAATCTATTAGCGCTCATCCAACGCCGCAGTCTTCCGTGGTTCGGTCACGTTCTCCGAGGACCAAACACTGACTTCAATACGGCAGTGGTTTTATCCTCGCCTTGCAAGGGCTGGTGTCGTCGCCGTGGTGGACAACTGAAAAAGTGGCTCGTTGCAGTGAAATCGGATGTCGATTTTCTGGAACTCCATGTTGTGCATGGTGCTTGTCACTGGTGGAATCACTGGAGCCAAATCTGCGTGCAGCTTAACGCTGACCGTCGCGCTTGGGTAGCTGCAATCCGCAACATTCATGAAGCCGGCTCATCCTGTCGCAGAAGCTAGCCGCAGTAAAATAAAAGTAAAGTAACTGCTGATATTGGGTGTGATTGAGATGAAGAGGATAGTAGTCCGAAGTTAAGTGAGTGGAATAGGGTCGTCAGTTGCTGCTCGTCTGCAACGCTGTATTTCACGACACGTCTCGTGTCAGTTCGCAATCGTCAAATAAAATCTGCAGAACTGTGAGCCAATAACCGGAAGTGGAAGTTTTCGCGGGAGGAGGCCCATACTTCCCGACACACCGCCGAGTAGCCACGGGCGACGCTTGTCACAACGTCACGCAATCTCCATTCGGGTTGCGATTCATTTTGTGGTGAGCCTAAGCCAGTTAGGTCACAGAGACATTTGTCCCGTTCAGGTATGGTTTTAATGATTGAACTGATGGAAATTCTCTTTAAAGTAAATAGGGGAGATCCGAAAACGCGATGGCCATTAGCAGACCCCAAGAAATGCTTTCCGTGGCATCATAAGCTATGCTATAGGCAGAGAACGAAAAGAGCAACCACGCAGAACGAGTTCGGTTGCTGCAGACGAATGACGTTTGAAAAGCGAAACAAATGAAACGCAAAACTCTGAAAGCGTTAGATGAAGGATGACAGGTAGCTCCGTCATAAAAACAGGAACGTATCAAAATGCTAGAAATTGTACTCGGAACATTAAGGAGTGTATACAATCGAACATCCTGTGACATTAGTCAAGTAAAGTCAAATTAAAACTTATGTATCCAGATGGGTACCTTTCCAGCATTTTACAATATCGACAACGGATGAGCTAAACTTACATTAGCAAAAATAAATTTGTAGGAATGGATAATAGGAATGGTTAATAGGACACTGTGAGAAGTGTCACTTAAACGATCAGTGTAAGTGAGCAACAAGTAAACAGTTCCGGACAAAATAATTTAAAGCCAGCGTTGCAAGCTAGACTTTCAATCGGGACCGTCCACCTTCACGTGCACAGTAGCTTAAATATTTCTCAAAGATTACGCGAAGGACAGCAGCGGTGACCTTGAAAAGAGCTTGACAAATATCCATGTTGAAATATTCTGAGAACGCTGATGTATTCATAGCGATATTGTAAACATGAGGTTCAGTGACAACGGCACGGCCAATTTAAAGGCCCCGCCCACTTCCCTAGCTGAAAGGTGCAAATGCTCATTCTGAAAGGACATGAGTGAGTATCAACAGGTGAGATACCACCACCTCGTCACGGTTATTGCATGGGTAATGCATAAGGTCTTAGACAAATTGGAGTTTTAACTCCCACCATCTACACAGACGTGTGACTGTGTAATCTAATCAAGAGGAGTAACGTGTATCGTTACAAATAGTATATAAAGAAAGCAATATACCGGAAAAATAATTGGCGAAAAGCAAGCAAAATGGGGATGGACCCAGTTACTGACCTTCAACGAAACCAAAAACTGAGAGCGCCGTTCGTCCGCGGACTGAGGCTTATTGCTGAGCGAGCGAATGATACGAACCCGCAAAACCTGTCCTCTGAAGTACGAGACTTCCAGCACATCATCTGGATTCAATCCGGTCTCACGGCGAGGCAGCCAAGCTCGTAGCTCATTGAGGCCAGCGACTAGTATACCTTGCTCGGTGATATCGACCACAAATGCGACGAATAGCTGATTCTTCGTTTTGCCCTCCGCGACAATGGAGTACATTTCCGTGCTACCGAGGAGAGGATAGTTGGCATTTAGCAAACTGTATTTGGCTGTAAGAAGTAACTTATTGTTCTCCTGATCCACTGAAAGAACCTGTGCATTGGGGAGTTAAAGATGGTGGGAGTAAGGGGCACCGGTAGAACGGCGAGATGGTGTACAGTGATGAGATAAAATCGGGACTAGTTATAGTTTTAGTGCCGGATAGAAAAACTAGTGTCTCACCCCTTGTACATTGGAACAGTCTGCCAATACGCGGACGGAGCGGGCGTCCTCGCGGTATACTCAGTCCGCGCGTGACTAGTGGTGGTCGCACGGCAACGAAGCGCCGTTACGGTGTACAGTCGACACATTATTTATTTTATTTACAACAGAGAGCATCCTGGGAGAAAACAGCGGTTCTGATAAGCTCACTTAGGCCCTATGTGGTCTGGAGAACAATTTCGTTGCTTACAGTGGATGATGTGGGAGTGGGAAGGAACAGTCTAGAAACGATCTGACATCGCAGTAGCTTTAAAGAAAGAAAAACCAGTTCGTGCGCCTCAGGGCACAATATGTCCCCGTCAATAACGGTGAATGGGGATCAATCAAGGCGGTCAAACGATAACGGATAATCCCTAGACAATCTTTCCTTAGGCACGGAGTGGGGACATATGTTCAGAGAAGATCGGATATCTCCAAATGTTCTTGCGTGTGTGCCCTGGTAAAAGTAATCGTGTTCCCTATGGGATGGAAACTTCGAATAAGTAATGGTGATATAGGGTAGCGAATAATTGGGGAATTGGTTGGGTTTTGGTGAAGAGTCGTCGCAGTTAGACTCAGGCAGACAGTCGCCATTTCGTCCTATCAGGGATCGCCGGTAGCGCGCACCCGCCGAATCCTGCCGGATTCAAATGCACGAGCATAGAGACGCTAACACTGGTTGTTCTTGCCCAAGGCAGAAATTGTGAGGGGTGGGTTACCGTAAATCAGGCCCATGGTTCATAACATACGTCTCCAGATTGATCGGCCACCAGAGTTGTGTAAACCCACAGAAGGATTGTACCCGCGGAAAATGCGTTGAAGGCTTGAGCTACCACGCATAGGTACCGGCTACATATTACATATACAGTATGGTGGTGGCGGTGGCCGAGTAGTCTGTACGCCTAGCTTGCAGTCATAAGGTCACCGGTCCGAATGCGCACAGGGGCGAGCTTCCCCGCGGTATACACAGACCACGCACGACTGGTGGTGGTCGCGCGGCAGCGAAGCGTTGTTACGGGGTACAGCTGACACATTATTATTATTATTACTATTATTATTATTACATATCTAGTATGAAAACACAGGAAGCAATCGAATTGGGCCACGAGTGGTGCGCGGCTCCCAAGGCTGTAAGCAAGCGTACTAACCCGCTACTACTGAACAGACACTCGAGACAGTAAATCTGCGAACATGGTACCAGTGATAGGAATCAAAGGAATCAAAGGGAATTGTTTTGCAGACAAAGATTGCCGGTCGCCATCCAAACAGATGGTGGGCAGTTACAAATCAGGCGATGAAGGGATGTTAGGCTGTTCGCAGATTCGAATGGTCCTGAAGTAGACCACTCAGCTCGGAGGACAAACCAACATCCCCGTTCGCGTCCCAAGAATTGGACATGCTCAATAATCGCCGACGGAATAACGCCTGCGATTGGCATAGTTGGCTGCAAGCATTACAGAAGGGTGGCCTTCAGGGGTGAAACCAGTGTCGAGAGATACAGACCGATTAACCGTTAACGGGTGAGTTACGTTGATCGTGCAAGCTAGTGACGGGATAGCCCAGTAAATCAGTGTTATCCTGTACTCTGAACGTGCAAACCCCAAGGTGAAACATGCAGCGCTCTGAAGCTGACAAAAGAGAATTGTTCCCATCGCAGTCAGGTTCAAGAAGGGCTGTAATATCCTCCGTATACACCAAACGTGTCCTTCCGTTTCAGACGAGACCGAATCATTCACGGTAAAACTGACCGAAAGATCAAATGGGAAAGGAAATGCAGAACGATTGTACAGACCCAGCAGTGACGGTCTACTCAGAGAAGGGGTTCCAGAAGGCCCAGGGATTGCAGCCGGAATCAGAAGAGATTTATCGACAGGATTTAAATTGGACGGTGAGACTTCCGGCGGTTAGGAAGATAATGGTCAGTACGACAGCTGGACCTAGTTGACTCAGCAAAAAGTTGTAGTTAACGGAATAAAAATAACTATGATTGGTCGTCTCCTTAGATGACGACGCTTAAACGGATGCAGGGGGATAATAGGAGGGTGAACGCATTCCCCAAAGAGAACAGCTGTCTGCTACTCCAGTCTTCTTATGATTCTGTGATATATTCGGGGGTAAGGAAAATTCAATACTAAAGAGGCTAGACCAACCGGCAGTGATTAACCATCGTCTTTCAGTAGCTGCCACAGGTCAGGAAGTCCGCGCATTTCGATCTTTTAAAAAGGAATAGCAGCAATACGCCAGCACGCAATACCGACGCTTGGCGGCCGCACAACTACCATCAATCTCGCATGGGCTAACGATACTGCGTAGGTCAAACGGTCCCTTATGCAGGCTCGAACATGCGCCCTCGGATTGCAAGGCAGGTTTGCGATCCTTTGGGCCATGGGCAGGCTGCTTCGGATGCAATGTCCCGCATGATTGGAGTTTAAACGAACTAGAAAACAACGACGATACAGGTGGACTGTCGAACTACTCTTGGAGTAGCTTGTTCTAGAGTAAAAGTATATGGGAATGAGAGAACAGACTACTTTTTACAACAACTGCCTTGCTCACTGAACTGTTGCTCAGATAATTGTTTGTGAAATATTGCAAATATCGTTAGCCTCATTAGACCACGGGACCCTACCGTTTAAGCCATAGGCTAAAGGGTGTTAGAACTAGTTGTTGCATCATGTTTTATCACAGTCTTCAAGCTGCTCACAGACATCAACCGGGAAGATCGCCGATCATGCCAAACGTCGAAAAACAGGTCACGCCGACGTTTGGTGTTGCGCTACATCCAGAACCAAGGGCGTCGGTATCATGCAGCAAATAAACGACCTCCGTGGGCGTGATCCAACCAAACAAAAGAGCGACGAAACAGGCAGAAACGTGGCCGCACCTAGTCGATCAATCAGCGGAGTTGTGTAGCGGACAACTACTACTGGTGTGTCTAGTGATATAGCCCGTCTTGTGGCCCGCAGTAGACTTGCTGATCAGTTCTACACTCAGATCCGCCTGTTTATTCCGCATAGCTAATGTTTTTCCATCATGCACTCCACTTTGACTTAAAAATCATTGTTACTTAAGTCGATCGCGCCGGTCAGTGACTACGCCTTTCGATGTGGGCAATACTACACAAACCTCCTTTGCTGTTACGGTTTCTGTGTCGCGAAGAGCGGAGCTGTGGAATGTTTTATGCGATACACAAGTGCTGCTCTATCTCTCACTTACCCACCAACGAAGTGAACCATATGGGTACAGATGATCATGCCTTGTCTGATTACCATGGAATTCAACTTTTGTCGAGCCATAAATTGTCACAACAGGCCTCCTAGGGTTGGATAAAACGAGTAATGTAGGAGCTGTCAAATGGATTTACGAAGAGAGCTATCCCACATGGTAGGTGTGGATTGCACAGACAGACGATATTCGGTTGACAAGCGACCATTCTTCCTATTGAACAGGCTTCCTCTCAATGTCGTCAGTCCATCGTAGTTATGCGTACTATCTGTGAGGCAGCGTCCACCGCACGATGACAGTGTGCATAATGTCATCAAGCAAAAAGCTTGTATTTAGACGTTCATTCAGAGAGCGTTTCAAATTCGAGTGAAAAAGACCAAATAATAATGACCGAGCTGGAGTCAACAGTTCAGCGAATCTGTACACTAGTACAGAAGCTATAGGTAAAATTACAACTAACTTTACTATACAAGACGCTGGGCACTAAGAATAGAAACTTCCATGATACAATGTTCCTGCATATATAAGTATCCGCACGAGAAATCTGTAGGACATCTGAACGAAGGTACTCACCAGACAATCGATCGTCTGCCCAGACTGAAACCTCTCCGCCGGTCGTTTCACGGGCGTATCGGAAGCATGCAAGTAAGGTATGAGGCCTGTGAACCGATCCTCCACGCGTACGACGATACCAGTTTTGGATAGATGACTCACAACGGCCTTAGACCGAATGGAGAATGATGCAAAATTGTAATTAGCTGGCTGAATGCTCCCAAAAACATATATATTCGAAGTGACATGAGAAACTGCATTTGGATACGAACAGATGCCCACTATTATGAGAATGATGATTGATATCAGGCTGATGATACCTGGGAAGCTAAGCTGAAAGGAGTGTCAGGGCAAAAAGCAAACGAATTCCTGAGTGGCCCATAGCTTGTTTCGATGAAAGTGAACGCTGATAATCTCTCGATTCACTAATAAACACACCCAAAAGTTCAAATCCATTACATGGCTGTAAGATCATGATCCCTGTGCAGGAATAATTCATCGATTGGCTTTATTTCACTTAAACAAATAGGAGGAAGCAGCCCAGAATCGCGACGCAAGCATAGCAATAAGTACAATGGTTAAAGAAGCGGCAAAACATAAAGTAGAGTGCAATAAACAGGGTTAGGGAACAAATAAGTAGTCGGATTTAGAGAAAAACGGTGATAGTAGGGGTTAGATCAACTGGCTGAATGTATAAACGTCATTTAAGCCGGTGTCCAACCGGCTATGCGGCCAATCCGAGTCCGCCATTCACGAAGACGGCAGGTACTAGACCTCGACCAACTTCTTCACGACTTTCTGCCACACGTGGTTGACCGGCCACTTCGCGAGTTTATCCAACAACATGCACGGACGGAAAGCAAAGTCCGCCAGAGGATTCGGTTAAGGTACACACGAAGAGGATGACCAAGCCAACGTAAAAAGTACAAGTTTACCAGGCACTGCAGTGTAGCACCAGAAGACTTCATTCCGAACACTAAATGATACTACAGAATTGTCACTCTTGACTCTCGTCGGATGAGCGTTACAAGGGAAGCACTTGTAGTCAAAAAACTAGTTTCGCAATGGTTGCAGGACGAGATGGCTACGATTTGAACCTACATAGTAGAACCGGCATCACTGACAAACCGAGAGGTGTAGCGTTTCCTGTCGATCAATTCAAAAATGCTCACAACAAATGTGGATTCGAGCCAAAGAGAGCCAGGTCATTCAAGCATTAATAGTCTCAGTCGGTCATTCAAGTGGCTGAATCATAGAGGAAAGAGTAACAAAGCGTTTGACGAACTGAAGAAGTAGGACTATGACAAGTTCGACAGGTTGTGTTTTACCTAAGTGTCCATTCGAAGCGAAGAGAAGAAGCTATTCCCTACCTTCAAAACAGTTCATCAGATCATGCGCTGAAGTTACATTGCATGGGAACTGCTTCCTAGAGAGAGATCACTGTAAGAGTAAAGCTGAATAAAAAAATTCTTTATCAGGAAAAAAGTCATTAATAACCGGTAACCCTCGCCAGAGATAATCTGGTCCTTGCGATCTAAAAAGCATCGGCAGTACGCCGAAGTTTCTCTGCCGCATAACCACCACTAGTCACAGATGGGCTAAGGATACTGCAAGCGTTGCTAGATCCCTACGTGTGTTCGAACCCATGCCCTCAGATCACAAGGCAGGTTTGTGATCGGTAAGGCTAGGGGCCGGTTCCAGTTACTCACCGACTCCATTCATACGCTGCATATTCAGTTTAAAGAATTTTCCACATCTAGAAAGCCAATAGCCACCTCACTCTCTATCACTCTGTTAGGCTACTAGCCTACACATTAGAGGAATGACCGAGCACATCTTCCCATTATATATAGCAAGCGATCCAATGACCACACGTTGAAACATCGCACCAGGCTGTCAAACGGGTGTGATACGCGTGGATAACGAAATTATGCTCCAGAAATAAACTAGTATAAATAAATGATTTCATTGCATTCACGTGATGGCTCAATTGGCCCATGAACAAATCGAGCGGATGCTAACCCCAATTCTTACCACAATCGCATGAAGACTCCATAAATGTCAAGGTTAATGTCGAACCCATACTAATCTCACATCTCCTATTCCTTTTGCTAAGCCGAGCTCTGACCCCATTAGTAACTTATTGACCTATATCGCGCACATTTGATCTAGTAGGTTGGATTATACGGCACTGTAACGATGCTTGATGGTGCGCCCGTGATGAATATGGTGCGCTACTTACGTAGACGATAGGCCTCGGCAAAGTATATCAGTCCAAAGTACTCAACCCACAAACATTACCGACAAGCGTGCGCAAACATTATAAATAAGGTACGTTACTGTAAGTAACGCAAAGGAAAAAACAGATTAAAAGGGTGCAGCTCGAATACCAAAGAGAAACCGCTATCGGGCAACTTACGGTGAACTTGATACCCGGAGAAAGTTCGCTGAGGGCCAAGAAAGGCAGCTTCAGCAATTTCCTGGAGCAGAGGACACGGCACGAAAGCAAAGAACATCACACCATTGTGATAACTAACCTCAACATATTTAGCCAAAATGCATACATTTATTGGATAAAAAGCAAATAAACTAGAAAGTCATTTTGTGGTGAAAGAAACACACTTCAGCAGTTGTGTGGCAATACAAAGCGAGATGACAAACTATTAAAAGCAAAATAAAAACCAAAAACAAGTTTACATTGCCTAGTATCAGATTACGCAACGAGTGTAAGATCGCGAGTGGAGGAGGAAGATAAGTGGGAGGAGACAAAGAAACTCACAACACAAGGGCCACCGGTTCTTCGTCATGTTAACTAGTGCATCCAACCAAACGTTTTGTATTTCGGACCCCAACCAGACAGTCAGGACCCTCTAATCGAGGACAACTTCAAAGTGAGAGTCTTCACCCTTCTTGACGAGCTCATCAGTTAGCCTCCTTCTTATGCCGTCAAGACACCGGTCGATCAAACAACGCACGTCACGTGAGTAAGTTTGCTGGCTTGTGTAACACATGACTTAGTCAATGGAGCCTGGTACGTGTAATAATGGTGCTGAGCGGGTCACGCGTTTCTTGAACCAAATACAAAACGATGAACAAGCTCAGTCCTCACGCAGAGCTCCCACTGGATAGATATAAGTCACAGGTCCAACACAACTAACCTCTTTATTTCCGTAGCTCTGATAGACCAGGTTTCACAACTATACAGGCTGCATTGTATACCCTACTTTTCTGAGCGAGAATGATGTACCAACTGCGTCACAAGTAGGTGAGGATTGTGCTAAAAGCGCCTCCAGCTTTGACATAAGGTTTTACCACTTTATTTTGCATACCACAGACGCTGATACAGCTACCAAGAAAGCTAAATATTTTTAAGTGGTTTATGGTTGATCCTTACTAAGTGGTGGTCCCTCCCAATCCCAAAAGGGCTGCTTCGCATTTGGAGGGTGCAAAGCACAGCCCAAAACGGCTAACATCCAGGGATAATCAGTTCAGTGCTACTTGGCACGTTCGTGAACACATTATCAGTTGCATACTCCGTCAAGAAGTCGATCACCTGGAAGCAGTAGCACACCTTCTAAGCACAATTCCCATGCCTTCGTCAATGACGAAGTTAAAAAGAGAGGTTACCGAGGTCATCCAAGCCTCACATCATTGAAGATATCGAAGAGCAATGACACTTTTCTATAAGACCTCACAATGCATTAACTACGCGCGTACAGCGCTCTAGTAATGTTTACATGTTTGTCGGGCACACAATCCTCCACCAAAAAGTGCCCACGGGCACATCGATCCACCGAAGTGAAAGCACCATTAATGTCGAAGAACAAGATCAATGTGGGTTGCGAATAAAATTGGCGACGCTGCAACAATTGACGTAAAGTGATGATGTCCTCAATTCAGCCTCAGCTACAACCGAATTCGGATTGCTTTTCACGAGTCAAACGTCTACGGTGTAGATAAATCTGTGAATAATGGGGAAGAAAAGCAACTTAAGGGCAATGGAGATCAGACTGATTCAAGTTGAATTTGGAAGCACGCTGTGCGGGGTGCCAGTGCCAAATATATCCAGATCAGACTGATAGTTCTAAGAATGCTGCGTCCCGTATGGGACCACATTTCAGTACCTGGAAAATAAAAGAGCTGTTTCAGTCTGTTGGAAGCATTTGCTCCGTTTCAAATAAGTCATATAAAGCGTTCGACTTCTGAGCAATAAGACAGATCCAAAAGAATAGCTCAGGGAGAAAGGCGATCATTCGCCGGCGAGAAATCTGACAATTCAGACGCACAAAATCCCCTTTCAAAGTGCTCAGTCCAAAGCCCCAAGCGTTTTGAAAAATTTTGAATAGGCTGTTCACTGTCGTCGCAGTCTCCTACCTCTAGTTTCGCGTATCAAAAGAAATGATTTAGGATGGTTACCAAAGGAAGCGGCCGTTGCTATTTCCGATGCGCAATAACCAAAGTGAATCGCGATCTCTCTTCAGACTGGTATCCAGTTCTTCCCTGGGCTCTTTGCGAGCTGAAACATATCAGCGAACATCCAGAAGTTGTAGAGATTGCGTAGTGACCCAATGTCTAGGTTGGTGATTAGATTTGCCACATGAAGACATGTCTGCTGCTAAGAACCTCTGGCGGATATGTAACCAACGATCTTCAAATGTTTCATTGATTGTTTATCCAGCCCGGATGCCGGCGTACATTGATAGGCAGTCAGAACATTGGGCTTCGCCAGTTAGCGAGTGTCTATTCGCCCATGGCGTCTTCGCAGGCGTCCGACAAAACGCAGCGCAGATCAGCATACAGAAGTGCATGGTCACCATCCACATGTACTCCAAATCGAGCGACAGTTGTAGAAGCAGCTTCACAAGTAACAATTGATCGCTATCAGATCGATTTAGGTCAATGGCTGGTGGGTGACGGGTGTTGTATCGGAAGCTAGTGCTCGCGGGAAATAGGCGAGCGTCTTTATGCATGTGAAATAACCGTTCACCGTCAGCATTATGGGAGCCTACACGGTGCTGACCGCCCAGAGGTAGCTCCCCAGTGAACAATTTTCTAAGTTGCGCGTTCAGATTCCTAGCAAGCACTACAGTATCCGTGCTTCTTCTGTTACGAAGGATCTCGTTGAATGACCGATAGAAGTCGTTTTTACCCGAGGCAACGGTACAGTTCGTGGGCACGAAGGCAGCGATGCCAAACAGGCACTTATTAGCCCCGCGTGTCTTCGAAAGCTTGAACGAGCCAGACAATAGGATGAAGCACATTCGGATGCTGACTAGGATCCAATCAAACAGGGCAACTTCAATCTGGGACCTAAGAGTAATACCCACAGTTTGACGGGCGTGCAGTTGTACCGTCTCCGGATGGACGCAATGAGAAAGTAGCACCAGTGCCGAATACAGGGGACCGTAGAGTGAGCAGGCGGGTTTCCGATAAGCAGTAGATATCGATTGGGTAAGTGCTGTCTACTAACCGATCTGTAACAAATTGCGCATATTGAGGCATTTCAGTCATAGCGAGGATCAAGGGCTCTAAATAGAAGCTGATGAACTAAAGTCGTCCGCATAGTTGTACCTGGACTTGTCAGCAGAAAAAAGGCTTTAAAGCTTCCTGTTTGTAAGACAACTGTTGCGGCACAGTAGCTGAGGTTTCACCCTTAGTTAACGTGCATCAACAAATTACAACTGCGGCGTCGGTTTGACACGCTAAAATTTAAGACTTGGCATTTGAAGCTGAGCAAGTAACCAGAGAAAGCAGAAGTGTGTAAACTTGCCGTTTCATCGTAGCGATGAGCACGTTCTCCAGTAGATCATAGTCAATAACTCTACAGGAAACCTTTTGGCCCGGGGCAAAAATTTTCTTCAAACTTTTGTCCGTCAGTTTGCTAGGAATATGAGCACGCTGAAATAAATGGATAATGCAATAAAGTTTTTACAAGCAACGAAACAGTACCTAGCGACGGAACAACCTTAAAACGCTGAATTAATGCGAGCAGTAAGCGCGTCAGCCCCCAAAAAAACCGAAGAAACAAACGTACTCCGTTATGATCACCCATTACTGGGAAACCCAGAAGCAACGAAAAAACAAGGTTCATAAATTGCTGAGTTTGTTTCGTAGGATGTGAACGTGGTCGAAAGAGTAAAGTGTAGTTATTAGCCTCTCCGTGCATCTAGACCTTACGACTCCAGTCCGACTACACCAACGGATAGTTTCTTCCGACAGAGGCTACGGTAAGACGGATAAGGTGTAACGAGGTTAAGTATTACCGACCACGGAGTAAGTAGTGTAGTACAAACGGGTAACCTCACGAGAGCGGGCCAGCTATGGATCACTCCAACGGCATAGGTCAAGATTCATCAACAAGATGCAAATGCAATACACGGCACCCTTCTGATATTCCCTTTTGGAGCAGTGACTGCAGCAGCAACTAGCTTAGGGGCTATCTGAACGAGCGCTTTCACATACCTTTTCCAAGTAGCTTTTGAAATATGGACTTCCCATGTAGCTTGTATGTTTTCATTAAACTACTTAATTCTGAGGAAGCAGTAGTAACCCGGTGCATCCGATGGAGACCGGAAGGCGAAGTGGCAGATAACATAAATAACCGCATGGCGTACAACTGAACGTACATGAACCAGTAAATGGAGCCTTTCGTCCTCCGGTGAAACTAAATGGACAGTGCGTTTGTCAATTCGCTTAGTTAAGCAGCCCTCAAATCTCGTGCCCACAGGTGCCAATGTTGGGGCAAAAAGTCGTTGTTCGGTTTGAAGGAACGCCTGAGGTAACAAATGTGGAAGCACCGAACCAGTTAGCTTTTTCGTTCCTGGGTCCACGGTTAACAGGCAGAGGGTGATCTGGAAACAAATTTGTCAAGAAACAAGGTATTAAGAATGATCAGCGTAAAAGATTAGTAAAATAATGTTAATAGGAAACAAGAAATGAGTAGCGTGTTCAACGGAGGTGCGAGAACAAATGCGACATTAGAACACTAGGAAGATACCATACGATAGTTGAACGATGGCGTCTGTCGGTCGATTTTCGAAACAATAAATAAATAAATGGCCTATTCTCGCCAGTTCGAGGCACGCTTGCACAGGCATGTGCATCGTACTAAAGACACGTATGAGCGGTACTTGCAAAAACATGTTACAATCTAACAAGTAACATATTGGATTTGTGTGTGTTGGTATATTTGTAGGGGTGCGTGGAAGTAGCCATGTTGAGTGGATTTGTTATTGTGATTCTGGATTTGTGGTTTTGTCAAGGGGTTCGCCAAAATGGATAACGTTCGTGAAGTGCGTAAGATCCTCCAGAAAGGGAAACAGCAGTGAGTTTATTGAGTGAAAAGTCACATCCGCCACGCCAGGCGGAAACCAACCACGTCCTGGGACGCTGCCGCCGAACCATTCGCTGGAACGGGATTAACCCGAACCACCCAGCTGGCACCATGAGGAGATGGTTCGGCTAGCCACCTTGCGTGTGTTCAGGAATATCCTGCAGAAAGCACAGTGTGAATGATGTAGTTCTAAACCATTGAGGATTTGCGGTGAACCTAAGGTGCAATTCACATCAAGACTCTCACGCAATAGTGTGGGACGATGTTAAGTCCCCCCCTGATGGTCACATAAATGCACTGCGAATCAGCAGCGTCAACAGCAGCACGTCCGTAGTTCGCTCCGACTCCTCGCTGCCATACACCCATGACCAGACAGAGGAGGACTAAAAGAGGAAGGGAAGAGGGCCCGATGGGAAAGCAAAACCAAATTTTCAAATCCAAGGTGACTGCATCTCGTCAACAACACACGGTCACAAACAGCTGACTATCGTGTAAAAGTAAGGAGACATTGATAAGACAGCCCCATCGCGGCTTTCATTGCCCCGTGTCTTAAACAGCCTTACTCCACAGGTAAACGAGAGAAGTAGACAAACGCAGTGTCCGAATAACTAACAACTACTACAACTTCATAGAGACAATGCGATTGAAATTCAACTTCTGTCGCATAGTACAGTGATCGATGTACCGAACAGGCGAATCGTAAAGTTGAATAACTGGCCGACAGATGCTTCACTAGGTCGAAGGTCTGCAGCATACCGAAAGTTACGGAGGCAAGTTTAGTGGAAATAACATTTAAGGTGCTTAGAACCATTTTGTAGATGAGGATGACGGCTGATAGACCTAAGAATGTGGAAACCTCCTGCGCCAAAATAGCAAAAAGTAGTTATATTAACTATAAACGTGCCTTCGTAACTTTCAACCACGATTGGGAATGTCATGAGAGTGAACGTCAGGGGTTTGGAAAGCATGATCTTAAATGCGTGTGCCACACAAGCAAACCAGACTGTGCTTTACGATGGCCTTCAATAAAAGGGTGGATATCGGGGTTCTTTGCAGTGATTTGGTGTCCAATCACATTTAATGATCATCCAAAAACATTAATCGCTTCATATGTTTGGCCAAGTTAGACTAATGGCTTGTTTTTGTTTCCTAACAGATGACCCCTAGCTTTAAGAATCCCAAGCCGGCCTCGTAATCTCAAAGCGCAGGTTCCAGCCTGTGTAGGACACCGGGCGACCCTCACAGTATCCTTAGCCCATGTGTAACTGGTTATGGTTGCGCGGCAGCCAAGCGTCGGCACTGTGTACCCCTGTACTGCTGGTGACCGCTTCACTCAAAAGTCGGAAGGGAGATTGGACCAAATGATCGTCATTCAGCACCCTTCAAATTCGGGGGACCTGCTTAGGTTGGGAATTAACACGACTTAATAGCGAAAGTGTGGGAGCAGGAAACTGTCCCGTAGCGACAGAGTGGAGTCACTCCGTCATAGTCCCTAATTATTAAGGAAGACTCCCGTTCGGAACGCGGCAACCACAGAGGAATCACTTTGATCACCATCGCTCAAAACCGCTTGCCTCTGTCATACTCCACAGACTGATTAGCACTCGTGCAAGCCAGATTCATGAGCAACAAACCGGCTTTCTTCTTTACATTATGTCACTTGTTAGAGCACCGTCAAATATATTGCCGACCCATCGCAGTCGATTTTCGCGACACCAAAGGTGCCTTCAATTCGGATGATCGAGGTGCCTTTTGAGACTGTCCGCTAAGGAAAGGTGTGACCGAGAAGTATGTAAATATTATCGGAGTGCTTTATGCGCGTAGCTCGGTCAGAGTGAGGGTTTGTGGCAAACTGTTGCTGCCCTTCAATATCTCCATCGGTGTAAGACAAGGATGCCCGCTGTCACCTTTCTATTTCAACTTCGTTATTGACAAAGTCATGGAGATCGCGTTCACAGGACAGGTGTGGGGCTGATACCAGGTGAACAATTTCATGACTTGTAGTAGGCTGACAATTTTGCCCTCATCTGTGACAGCTCACAAACGTGCCGAGCAGCACTAGCCAGATTAGCGTTGGCTCTCAGCCGTTTGGGAATTTGTTTTGAATTCTCAAAGTGCAAAGCTTCCCTCCAAGATTGGCAAAGACCGCCTCCTGTGCTGACCAGAGATCAGCTAGAAATCGTTCAAAATGGCAACTACTTTGGCAGCTGTATCTGGGCGTGTAGAATCGAAGAGGTCACAAAGCGTATAGGGAAAGCTAGAAGTGTTTCGCTAACCTTCGTCAACTATGGCGTCGGCACGATATCACCCGCACCCTGAAGAGTAGAGTTTACAACGCAGACACGTTCGACCCTACTGTACAGTTGTGAAACATGACCCACTAGACCGTCAGAGGTAAACAGGATAGTCATGTTTGATCAACGGTGCCTTCGCAGTTTGTCAGCAGGTGGCCAAAAGGATTGCACGCATGGCTTATAATCCTTAAGTCAACGGTTCGAATCCGCGTAAGCACGGGGTCCTCGCGGTACACTCAGCCCACCAGCGACCAATGGTGGTCGCGTGGCAGCGAAGCGTCAGTACAGTGTGCCGGCATACTTAAAAAATTCCATGTAAAGATTGTACACAAGTGTATATAGGCCAAACAGCGAGGGAATTACGTACAAGGATTTCAGAACATAGGCGACACATATCACGACCTCCGCGAAATGAGCTAGAGTATGGAGCTCTACTCAGAGATTCAGCAATAGCAATGCATGCGCTAGACACGGGGCATAAAATTGACTTCGAAAATGTGGAGGTAATCAGGAAGGGATTACGATCAACCAAACAAAGGCTGATTGCTGAGGCTATAGAAATAACCAAGGCTAACAACTGCGTGAATAGAATAGACGGAGTAGGGCTGTCCAGTGCCTGGCGTCCAGTCTTACTCCGGCCAGCTTTGTAAGCATCGGTGGATGGATCCCAAGTCGGAATGAACTATCGACCCACCCTCCAAAGAACTAAAGCCAAATTCTATCAGTGTCCAAGTTCCCTGCAACGGTTCAATTAAGATTGTTAGCCACAATGTAATTATCTACGGACCGGCAATTTCGTTCCCTTGTTGTAATCCACACACTCACGCATCAACGCTCGATCATGTAGCCACCACACCTCCATTATGGCGTTGAATGCTCCTTTCATCCTAGTGGGATTCAGCGCCAGCAGTAGCTCACCCTTCTGTGGAATCCCCGCTGGACTTTATTCCACTATCATCTTGTGCGGCTTATACTGCTGAGTCATCTTAAATGGCGATGGTTTATGAAACTACGCTACCAACCGCACTGTGACGCCACTCCCTACTTCGGCTTGGGCAACCGGGTAGTATCTCGCCCTCTGAGGAAACCATGGACATTGTTGTGTTGTGTTTTATTTTACTATTTCTGTACTTTCGTTTGAATCCCATGGTTTCTGATGGCATTATGTCTATTCGTAGACTTTTGCAAATATATATGACGCCACTCCACTTCCGCTAACATATGTGTGGACAGGATTGACTACCTTAACATGATTTTCATGCCTAGACAACTCTTTCGTTTGCGACATTGTGAGTTACTTGGTCAGTCTTTTATTTTAATAGTGTACGTAGGGAATACTGTCAGTTTTATCTCTCCTGAGCTCAGTCGTGTACCGCACACACAGGAATTCGCCTGACGGTCGTTGTGTTGTCCTTTTAGGACTCACCCGCGGCGCATGTTCCTCCCGAATCATGTCGAACCAGACCTCTCAATCGTCCAGTTTCCTAGACCGACTTAGACTGCTGGGTCATAGGCGACGATAGTGGTGGGAAGTTTGACGCGGCGGCCCACCCTATACTGCCGAGTGGAGAACTGAAGGGATTCAACGAACTTGGCTTTCGTCGCAAGTCTGCGGACTATCTTGTATCTTTATGTGCTTACATGGCAGTTATTGACCTTATAACTTCTAGTTTACACCATCTGATGAGTGACTAGGAAGTGGCGGTCGCGAACTAGAGAAGCGTAACATTTCCCCTAGTGCTGAACTGCGTAAATATCCTTTCAGCTGCAACTTCACGCAGACCGACTATATTAACTGTTTCTCAATTTAAAGAACACATTCAACTTACTCAGCCGTACGATTTCACCTAATCTACTTTCCCGGGTAAATGTTTATCTTGGAGGACATAGGCATTTTACGTACATGCACTCGAGCACCTTAAGTTCCGCCTGAGGATACTTGATTCTGGAGGGCTCTGGGCACAGTACTTTTCTGCTTGCACATCACTGTTTAGTGAATCTAAACTGCTCTCTATCTCTATGCGTACGCTCTGCAAATGTCAGCCAGATATGGTACTTTTAGTCCTCGTATGTTCACTGAGGCTGATGTTGCATTCTTGATGCTTCTTCGCCGCAGTTGGGCTAAACCAACTTACACTTAGACTGTTGTTTAGTGAATCTAAACTGTTCTTTATCTCTATGCGTACGCTCAGAAAATGTCAGCCAGGTATGCTATTTTTAGTCCTT